AACCCCCAGCACATGATGTACAACCTAATGCATATCCTACTGTACAACCTACATCGCACTACGTATACCATCTGACACCCATAAACCCAGCCAGCACTTTATGTCAGGACCTAGCCAACAACAATACATGTCTGGCCCTTCTCAACACCAGTTCATGCCGAGCCCTAGCGAACCATATATGACTCCTAGGCAGCAGTTTATGGCAGGTCCTAGTCATCAATTCATGTCTAATTCTTTTCTTACTCTAAGTTTTACGCAACATTTTGTCATAAGTCTAGCCCAGGATGATATTGCACAACATATATCTCTCAGTCCACCTTTCATTTCAAATGTTGAGGTTACGACATGCCTACATTCATTTGTGACACGTGCACCAGTTCAAGATATTCAACCACCAGATCATTTCTATTAACCATTGCCAACGCATCAAGAGGAAGAAGATGAGCTCAATGACCAAGAGGAAGAAGCAGATGACCATGATGAGTCTTAGGAGGAACAAGTCATAAATCATAGACCAGTGCGACAGATTGTATATTGTCGCTGTGCAATAAAAAGTGACATCGTTGGCCCTAGATGCAATAGGCATGGCTCATAGTGTTTTAGATCGATATGTATCATTTTAATTATGCACTTTTGTCTTTTTTTTATTCAAGCATGGTGGTGTAAGAAATTTATGTTTAACTTGCTTTAAGTTTAAATGTAATGTGAAATTTATCATTTTTATATATGATTAGTTTAGCTTGGTTAAATAAATCTATTTGTAGTAGACAATAAGCTGATAGAAAATATATATTCATTAGAAAAACTAGTAACATAAACAACAGATTATTACAATTACTACACAGGGAAAAAATGATAAACAACAGATATACTGCGACATATTAAACTTAACACTGAGAATTCTTTTACAATATAATACAATAAATCAATTATTTTGGCTAGAGGATGGAGCATGTGGGCATGTCCATCTAGTGTGACCGGTACCCCTACAAAATCAACATCGTTTTCCCTGGCTCAAATCATTTTCATCCATTTCATTGTGAAACCTCGTTGAAATTGGTTGACCCTCAAGACTTCACTTAAGTGTAGGATTTGGTCGTATAGGAAGGCCAGTGTATGGTGACCACATATCTTCATTAGGAATTGAAGAGAATTATGCTTTGTACACATTGAACACGGACTCAATGGTGTAAACATCGTGAACAAAAGAAGTCCAATCTCTTCGAGCATTAGAGTACACAGCGAGTGCATGACGACATGGATAATGCAACTCTTGAAATTCTCCACAGTCACACCGTTGTTCTGTTAAATGCACCTTGAATTCCCGTTGACCATGACTTCCCATGTTATCTCTTTCAAACACCAAGTATTCTAACGCATCTCGATTCACTCGAGTGGTACTCATATTCCCAAAGTGTTTCCTATGCTCCTCAATTGCATTTAACAATGTCTGTGAAATTTTTTTGCCACTAGCAAGTTGCACCTTTGCCTTAGTTCCCTTTTTTATGAACAACTCAATAAGACGATAATATGTTGACTTAATTATAGCTGTAATGGGAAGATTACGAGTACCTTTCATGACCGCATTCATACACTCTGATAGATTAGTAGTCATGTGCCCAAAGCGACAACCCTCATCAGCATATTGAGCCCACTTTGCACGCAGTATGTTGTTAGCCCATGCATACATCGCAGGATCTACATCACCCAATGCTCTAAACTAGTACAAGAAATAATGTTTAGTCTTTGCATATGTTGCATTCAACAATAATCGCTTTGCATCTTTGTTCTTGAACTTTACTATAAAATTTGATACAATGTGTCGTGAACAATATGCATGATAGGCTGAAGGGGGATGCCACCACCCACTATCTGTTGCTTCTAGAGCTGCTTTGATAGCATGATATCTATTAGATATGACAAGTATGCCTTCTTGTGGTGTCATATGCTGACGAACATTTCAAAGAAAAAAAGACCATGCTTCTTTTGTCTCTCCCTCCACAACTGTAATGGGAAGATTACGAGTACCTTTCATGACCGCATTCATACACTCTAATAGATTAGTAGTCATGTGCCCAAAGCGACAACCCTCATCAGCATATTGAGCCCACTTTGCACGCGGTATGTTGTTAGCCCATGCACACATCGCGGGATCTACATCACCCAATGCTCTAAACTAGTACAAGAAATAATGTTTAGTCTTCACATATGTTGCATTCAACAATAATCACTTTGCATCTTTGTTCTTGAACTTTACTATAAAATTTGATACAATGTGTCGTGAACAATATGCATGATAGGCTGAAGGGGGATGCCACCACCCACTATCTGTTGCTTCTAGAGCTACTTTGATAACATGATACCTATTAGATATGACAAGTATGCCTTCTTGTGGTGTCATATGCTGACGAACATTTCAAAGAAAAAAAGACCATGCTTCTTTTGTCTCTTCCTCCAGCACTGCAAATGCTATTGGCAAGATATTTGAGTTGCCATCTTGGGCAATTGCCATCAATAATGTTCCACTATACTTGCCATACAAGTGTGTCCCATCAATTGAAATCAATTTTTTACAATATTTGAATGCCTCTATTCATAGTGGATAAGTCCAGAAAAGACGATGAAACATAAAGTAACTATGATCTACAACATCACCAATATAGTCTGGTCTAGTTTGCATTTGGGCAATAGTACCTGGCATATAAGACTACAAGCCACCCAACCACCTTAGAAGTTCATTATATGATTCTTCCCAATCTCCATATATCATAGCAATAGCTTTCTGTTTAGCAAGCCACACTTTTCTATATGTTGTCTTGAACCTCAACTCTAACTCGACTAATGCTTGTAGAGCTTTGATTTTTATCATCGGATCTACTTGGATCATGGGATATATGTAAGCACAGATAATATTATAATCCATCTGAGCATGCTGATTCATAGACTCTAGAAAGACACATGTGTGTGGTCCTGTCAATTTTTGCACTTCCCATAACTGCAATTTCTGGCAGAAAATGACACGTATACTCCAATTATAGTCAATGCCAAACTTGACACACTTGTAATAAAATTTTATGTAGGTAGATTCATAAAATTTATACTGAACACCTCTTCAGATGCTGTAATTTTTAACAGCAAACGTCACTTCATTTTTAGAGAGTGACAAATCACTATCTCGCCCTATGCTCGAACTTGAACTAGACTCACTCACAGTATAATCCATTGCAGCTAAATCAATTGTTGAGTAGTGACTAGGATGATGTCGAGCTTGAGATTAGGATTGGAATTGAGATTGCGATATCAAATGTTCATCCAAATTCTGCACATCACACAACTGTTCATCTTCATCATCATCAATGTCCTCTTTTTCATCATTCTCAGTATCCTATTGTGCCACAACAAAATCAAAATCTCTGACCAAGCTACCTTGTCTCATTTCTTGTGGATTAAGAGATAATAGATTTTTAATGTCTTTAACAAAGTGCTCGAAACTTGGAAAACCTACCTCATCATGTGAATTGTGCATGTCATGGTGGGACATCTCAACTAATGGACCTACATTTGATACAGAAGGTGATGGATCTGGGACTGAGCCTCCAAAGCTAAAATGATCACCTTATAATTCGACGAAAAGTTCTATTGTATGAGCTTCAGCAAATGAGTTAAAATAACTAAACATGTGATTGATGTGCTCATCTTTCCGTATTAACCACTTTTTATATCAAATACCATTTTGCCCAATATCAACTGACATCCTGTAGAAAACCTTTGACACTTGTGTATTGTTTCCTTCATACTCCTCCAATATTCGGCTCTCCAACTGTAGCAAAGTAATTGGGGGACGGACAACTAACCAAGCCTAATAGTTGCTACGAAACGTTTCTCCTTCCACTGTGTTTACAATCTCACCATTATAATATATAAGCACATGAACATCATTCTCTCCTATTTTATTGAAAATGCACTTAATTGGTTGATTTTTCAAATAATTTGATGCAAACTTTGGAACCTCTGTGTTTATTTATAAGCGAAGATGAATGGAATGATAATGTAAAGTGGTTGTCGAAACTGAAATATATTAAAATCAACTTTTACGTTAAAAAGAAATCTATTAAAATCGACTTTTGTGTAAAAGAAAAATATATTAAAATCAACTTTAATGTTAAAGAGAAATTTATTAAAATCGACTTTTGCACATATTAAAAGTCAATTTAAATTGACTTTTTTACTAAGCCTAGCTCAAATCTACGTAAGTTGATTAAAGTTAACTTCTTAGTAAGTTTTACATTATTGAAAGTCAGACTTTTGATTTAAAAGAATTTCAAATATTTACCAAAGTCGATTTTAATCAACTTCAACTATAACATTTTTAGGACAAATTTATAATTTTTTTTTTAAAAGAAGACATTCATATAATTAATTTTTAAAATTATTTTATTTAGATAAAAAATCTGGAATTTGAAGTAATGTAATAATTAAATGAAAATGATTTAATAATTGCTCTCCGCAACTCCAAATCGATCCAGATCATAGATTTTAGAAGTCTCTACAGATGCATAGCAATTGCAAGACTACAGTCTGATTGGTCTGCAGTATTTTAATTAAATTACATCTGCACTGAGAGATATGTCATAATTATTTATTTTTTAATAGATGCAGCAAATGTTACTCCAAGAGAAATTAATACATATTTAATATACATTTTAAAGATATTTTTAATGATCATTAAAATTACAAAATTATAGGTAATAAAAATTATATTTATAAATATATTCGAGATTATGCTGTTAAATTTTTTTGTGACAATAATTGCGAGCGTCATACAATTAATGGGGATCTAAAATCTTCGAGGTTGCAATAAAAATTGTTGTTATAGACCAGAATTTGAAATGCTGCTTGTATGTAATCTTTTACAGTTTAAAATGACATGACATAATAATAATTGCAACTGCAATTTAAAATTTTAATTTCATCAGGGTCTAAGCAATGAACTTTGGGTCTTAGAAACGGCGGCGTTTGGATCGGTCGCGAGAATCGGAGCGTTCTACCAAAGACTTGAGCGAGTTGTGCAGAAACTGGATGGATTCAACGCTATGATCTTTATCAGTGGCGACGACAAGAACATTGCGGGTTCTTCCACCAAGCGTTGCCATTTCGGCTTTGAGCGTTTTGAGATGTAAGGACCTAAGAATTTCAATGAGGTCAGGGATGAGGTCAGAGCGATCTTCACAACATAGAGAGGCTTTGAATATGAGCCTTCCATCCCCGTCACCGCTGGTGGACACAACAGTCATCTCGTCCGTCTCCGAAGGAAAGGTTTCAGATTCGGTGATTTTAGATGTTTGATGCTTCAACTCTTTCACCCTTTCGACCACCTTCGCAAGAAGTGAAGCCTTGTCTGTCTGAACCAAAAAAATAGAAAAAGGTACTTCACTTTTCCTTACTCAATTATATGATTAATGTTGTCTTTCTTGAGCATTCGGAAAAGCGTGAGAGAATCCTAGGGAGGAAGAAAAGGGAAAATTATTCTACTTTGGATGATTAATTTTATTAGCCTTTATTCATTTAGTTTCCTGGAAAGTCAGTAACGGTTTTCTTTTTCGTTTGTCCATACGCAAATTTTCTAAGCTCGATTATTTCCAATGATTATGCTATGTAGCCATAGTGGCTTACAGTTTCGACAATATATTTTTTGTTTACATCTTAATTAAATGTATCTTTAATAGTTCCGTGGATTTTTAAGAAATATTTTTGAAATGTGTGTATAAAATAATAAATATTATAGAATTTTACATGTTTAAATTACGAGTGTGTGATAGTTATAGTCTGGTCGGGTGCATATAAGTTATGCCCTTTCCTACTCTTTTTCTTGGCAAACAAACAGCTTTGGGAGGGAGAGAGAAGTAGTTTGGCAAAAGATTATTTTCATTAAAGTTACTATTTTTTCTTTAAAATGCTCTCAAAAAATAACTAACAAAAAAGAAATAATTGTGTTTTAAAAACTTAACGATTGATATATCACTATATGTATGAACTGAAAAAGATGAACTTAACATTTAATGAAGTGCATATAATATGTATACTTTAATATATACCTTGGAACTGCAAGGAAGAAGAGTGCGAAGCTTGTCGAGGTGAGAGTTGATTCTTTCCCTCCTCCTTTTCTCAGCCTCTTTGTGGTTCCTCAAAGCAGCAAGAGCTTTATCATGATGAGATGGTGCATCAGATGCTTCCACAGGGTAATAAGAAGAGGAGCTACAGAAGCTATGTGGCATCGTTGATGCTGAAGGGAAGCCGAAAAACGCAGAGTTGAAGAAGGAATCGTGGGTGTTTGTGAAGAATTGGAAGAGCTCAGAGTTCTCCATATCATAGGTAGATTAGGTGTGAGGTGTCTGAGGGTAACAAGAAAAAGTATGTGTGCGCGCGCGCAAACGCGAAAGGCCGAAAGTTTCAGTTTTCCTAGTGTGGCTTTGATACTTAAGATTGTTCTTTTTGACTCACCCCAGGGAGCTCTTCCCCCAGCGAGGAATAAAATCAAAGCCTTAGACTTGCAAGCCTGGCTTTCGGTGCACATTTTTCTATTCCCTTTTCGATTCAAGGATGTTTCTCAGGATGATAATGCTAATTATTGTAATAGAATGATAATGATTCATTTCTAAGGATAGTATTCTTTAGTGTTTGTTAAATAATTAAAAATAAATTTTAAAAGGAGTAAGATATTGTAAGGTTAAAAACTCTTAATCTGAGTCTTTGATTTAACTTTGATCTAATAGGTTACTTATAATTTATTATTTTACCTTTAGATTTAAGTTAAATAAAAAGTTTGGATTGGATATAAGAATTTTTAAATTTATACTAGTGTAAGAGTTTTTAAACTGGTATAAGAAGATCCTTTTTCATTTTAAAATAATGATATACATATTTTAAATATTTTTATGCATTTTAATTAATATAATTATTAATAAAAATATAATATTTATTAATTTTTAACTGCAACATTCAATTTTTTATCATTCTTATTTAAATAAAGATTATATTCTTTTAATTGAATTAGAAAATAAAAAATAAAAAATAAAAACATAACTAGTGAAATAGATTCAAAATTAAGTTTACAAGTGTGATGCAATCCAATAAGAAGGGACAATTTGTAATCTCCTAAAATTTTAGTATTATATATTTAGTTAATTCATAATTATTATGTATGTAAATTATATAAGATTACTATTTTATTTGATATGAGAATTTAATTGTTTTGTTTATACGTATAATTTAAATTAATTTTAAGTATACACATTAATTTAATTATTTTCTTATGAGTGAGATTAATTATTCTTTAAAAGAATATTTTTAATATGATTCAAAGTTTAGTTTCCAATATATTTTGTAATAACAATTAATTTAGTGCAAGTAATTTATTTTAATTATAACTTAAGCATCAATTGTAGAACCATTGAAATTTTTTTTTTCAACCTTCTTTGGTTTGAAAAAAAAAATTACTTGGACTAGGCCCAAATCATCACAATTCACAACTATTGTAGAAATTAGGACAAGGAAGAGTCAAAATGGGTCAAAGAAAGAGTCTTAAAAAATCTTGGAAACAAATCTCTTTATTCACGTCAAACCACACAAGAGAAGAGAAAACTCTATTTTCTTTTCTTTCTCTCTCTCATTCTAAAATTAACATTTTAAAATTATTTGTTCATTTTTAATTACTTAAAGTGAAATATATAAGGATTATATTTAATTTTAAAGAGACAAAAATTAAAATTAAAACACAAGTTACAAAATTAGTCATAACAAAGAAATAGTCCAAAATAGGCTTTGGAATAGTGACCTTTTAGGACAAATAAATGAATGAATGAAAGCTGAAATATTTTATGGTATTTAGTCTAGTGGAACAGTACCTTGGACGTGCAAAGAGGAGCCCGAAAAGCCTAAGGAAAAATTGCACAAAAATCTTGCAAAGCAAGCCATGATTCAACGTGAATTTTGACCAAATTTGGTGGAAATTTTTGCAACAAACTAAAGACCTAATTAAGGAGACCTGCACGGTTAATTCCACACAAAAGATAAGTCAAAGTACAAGTTATTAATGCCTTAACCAAGCTGAAAAGGAAGAAGTTAATGAGAGATAAAGATAAGTAAAGCAAGTCAATCCTTGCATGATTAGAAATCTTGACAGAAGAATATGACTTAGTTCTCACCCAAGGGAGAGTAAGGAACTATGACAACCTTAGCATAAAGTAACTGTCATGACCACTTTTTTATAAAGGATTAATAACATCATACATCACAGCTCCTAACATAGATTTATTTATGAGATAAAATATATATCACAAAAGATATACTTTTAAGAAATCAACTTCAACATCTCATAGAATAATAGAACCTCAAGGGTATTTTTATATAATCCAAAAATTATATAAGTAAAACAGTTGCTTTCCATGGAACTCAAAATACAAATTTACAAACAACAATTACATTTCTTGAAAACTATAGCTAAATAGTCTAGACATACCACTAAGACCTAGACTAACAAAATAACTAAAAGTTATGAACTTATTTAAAATCACTAGAATCAAATTCTTAGCAAAAGTCATGAATTAGAACAACACTAAGAAGCTTTATAATTAAGTTACTTGAGATGTATATGTATTGAGTGATAAAAGGTAGAAAATACTGAACTTTAGGTTAGAAGACTGATGCAGCGCTACTGATGACAACTACAACAAGAGCCAAACTGATGCAGCGCTACTGATGAATCCATATTTTGACTAATATTTTAGTGTAATTCTAACCCATTTGATAAAAAAAAATGTTAGAAAAAGAAGAAAAACTTAGAAAAAGATAAAGATTGAAGGTTTTCTTTTAATATGTAGTTATTTTAGCATTTGTGGAATTTCTGCTTAGATCTTAAGAAATTAATCTTATTTTTGTAGGAATAATTTGAGCAAAAGTCATGGAAATGGAAGATCAATGGAAAGGAAGAGGAAGAATAACAATTCTAGACTCCAAAATACAAGAACAATGGAATGCAGGCCGGGCGTGATCACTATTGTCAGTGAAAGTGATCACTCCAGAGCTCAAAAAAGAAGTGAAGTCTGGGCATAATGTTCGGAGGGCAAGTGTACCTATCGAGAAGTAATAAAGGGTTCTTTAAATTAAGTTCCCAAATTATCGTCCCACAAGGATTGTTTACCAATTACTAAGAATTTCCTAATTTAATTGTTTGAGCTTCAAATATGCAAGAATAATCAACATAAGAATTTAGAAAATCAATTATAAAACTAAGAGCAAGAAACACAAAGCACGTCTTGGGTACACTTATCGGAAAGAAACCTAGGGCATATGGGTGTTCTCATTCAATCCTTTATGTTATTTTTCTAATTAGATCTAAATCTGATTTTCTTGTAATTACTAATCATTCATACGAATACTATTAATATTCAATGGCCATGCAATATTAATATTCTTTTCTCTAAATTAACACCTTCAATGGTCATGCAAGATATAAATTTAAGAAAGCCTAGGGAGCCTATGAACTTGTTAATTCAATAACGATTAGAAGAAGGAGATTGGTTTGGTCTACCTAATCTTTCATCCTGTTTTATCCTATAGATCTATTAATTAATCGAGGTACGATCGCCTGACGATGTAATTAATCAGGGTTAAGAGTGAGAAGCAATAAGATAAATTCTAATCACGAAATGGAAATCAAATTTAGATTCAATTATCAAAATCTCATAAATTCATAAATAATAATCCCCATAGCCCTAGCTATGGATTTAGTTACTCATGTAGAAAGAAAGCGCTAAAACAGTAAATAACATATCCATAATGAAGAGATATAGCAAACTAGAATATGAGATGAATCTTCGGTCTTCAAGTATGGTCACTTGAAGTTACAGTCCCGCCAAGAGTGTGCTGACGATTCGTACAAGAGGAGTGGAAATGATCTGAGATCTCGAAGGGAAAGTTATGTGTAAATTCGTGCTCAGCCAAAAAGAAGAAGAAGAAGATTTTACGATGCCTTCCTCCCCTTATTTATATAATCTGAACTCTTTTAAAATTGCAAAAGTGACTACCACAAACAAGCACGGTCGTGCATTACATCAAAGCACCCCCGTGCTTCACTGCGCGTGCTTATTGTTGTGATATTTTTAAGCCCATTCATTTGGGCCCAAAATGCACCCAAAATCTACTTGTGGCCTCTTTATATCAAACTGTACAATTAATAAATAAATTAGTGTAAAACTTAATTAAAATAAAGGTCAAATATGAATAAATGGACTGTAAAACAAGGCCTCATTACAGACTTATCACGTAACCACTTTTATCATTGAAACTGAGTGTTCCAGAGAAGCCTTAGAATCAACAAGCTTTGCATAACCACTTTTATCAATAAAAGTGAGCGTTCCAGAGAAGGAAAAATTTCAGAAAACCCTGCGTATCACTTTTATCAATGAAAGTGGATGTTCCAGAGAGTCCTCAACTTGAGTGGTTATGCGTGGCCACTTTTACTCATAAAAGTGTTAACGCACAACCACTCGACCTCCTACGTTGCAACTCTTAGCAGCGAAAGTGATAGTTCCAGACTTCTAGAATCACATGAGCCTCTGCCTAGCCACTCTTATGGAGAAAAGTGACAACGCACTCAATCAGGAATTTCTATAAATACCTGATTAAGCTTAGAACTCAGGGTCTTTTGTTCATTTTCTATTTTTTCTATTAGATTCTCGTTGAGAGAGAGTGAGAGAGAGGATTGGGGTTGAACTTCGAATCTTCAAGAAGAGGGATTGGACTGAAGCTCGTGGAGATGGATTCTCTGAGTTTCTTCTCTTCTTCTCCTTCTTTCTCTTTCTCTGTCACAATGTTTGCATAATTCTTTGTAGTTAGGAGTTTATGGACCTCGAATTGATGCATTGATTTGATTCTTGCTTCTAAAATTTGAGTTTTTGGATTAATTGAGTTGTTAATTCTGCACTTTATATAATCTTTGAATGGGAATTTATTTGATTAATTAAAGAGGAACTTTTGCCAATGGGAATTGGATCTATTCCTCTGATCTGAATTAGAAACCATAATTAGGGATTTCTTAGGGATAAGGGAACTTAATTTTGCAATCTTATGGTTCTAATTCTTAATGCAACTTGAAATTGAACTTCACTTAAGAGATTATGGTGGTTTAGTTGATTGTTAGGGTCAATAAGTTAAGGGATTAACCTTTGACTATTAATATGTGAAACTGATTGTCAATTAACCAATTGCTTGAATGTTCAGAGGTTAAATTGAATTAATATTGATATTCTTGTGAAATAAATTCTGAACTATCCTTCATTCATATCTCATCTCAACACAACTTTCA